CCATGCGCTTTGTTTAAAACCTGAGTTGAACGGTGGTTTAAAGGGACGGCCCCAAAAGTAATTTGGAGAACTCGATTTTTTTCGCACGGAGTCCAGACTGGACAACAACCGCTTCGCTTCGCGGGACCAGGGAGGTGGATTCATTCTCAGAGGGTTCCATCCATCCCTGGCCCGGATTTTGTCCATCAGGATCATGAATTGCAATGTTCTAGAGAGGGCCCAGCCCATAAGCCCATAACTTTTACCATGACTTATCTGAGCTTCTGCAGGGCCCGAAGCCCATTCGAAGGGAGTCATAAAGAACATACATGTAGCCGCTCGGTCCGAATCATTTCACAGAGTCTGGTAGGTCTATCGTATGAGACCTGGGAAAATCCTTTTACACTACGAGCTTTGCCGAAAGGCCCACGTGAAGAGCACATATCAAATCTGCCCGGTTCGCCCATTTTGAGCATCTCGGGTGAATCGGGTTGGGTGTGAAATAAATCGGTGGCCTTCGAGCGGTCAAATAGGGGACCCCCCCCAAAACAAAAAGTGGCTTCCGTTCAAACCAACCAAAAGGGTAACCCAAAAAGGCTTAACCAAAAAAACCCAAATGAGTGGTTTCCGTTTAAACCGACTAAAAGTTGGTACCTTTTGCTCTTGGGAAGCTGAGAGCTTAGCTGTCTTCCGTGCGCTGCAATGCTGAATTCACTTCAAAGAAGACGGGCATCAAAACAAGGGTACCCCCAAAATGAACGACCTTCACGTGGTTTCTGGAGGGTGTGTCTTAAAATAGCCCCCCCCAAATGAGTGGTTTCCGTTTAAACCAACTAAAAGGGCACCCCAAAAAAAATTAACCAAAAAAAACAAACCGGGTCATGTTGGCTTCCCTCTGACACAGCCGAGTCTCCCTGAAAAATATTCCGCTCCAGCCGGCGGTTCTCTTACTCACAAGCGCACCTCCTCATCTGGCACAGGCGCCGGGCTACCTCAGCGTTGTGGTCTCACAGAGGAATCCGAAAAGGGTTTGAAATCCCAAACAACGGCCATTCAATGGCAACATTAGGTATTTTTCTAGATTAAACTTGTTGTTTGCCGCTAGAATGGTACCTAATGTTTGACTTAAGTTTGGGATTTGAGATCTGAGGAAGTGAGAAGCTTCTGGGCTTTCGCGAGAAAACAAAGGAAACATGTTAATTCGCTGTGGCCTGTGGCTCAAATCAACCATCTATACCACAATTTGGGTGTGTCACTCTAGGGAACTCCCCAAAATGGCGACGGTGTTCCTTTGCGTTTTCCACAAAAAAACGCGAACAAAAGGTACCAACTCAAACACAAACGCACCGGACAAACCCGAAAAGGGCTGTGCAGCAGTCGGGTTCTCGGGTTTTGGTTGCTCGGCCTTTCAGCTTGGTCTTTTCACTTGATTGGCATGACAAAGAGAAACTTAGGGGGGGATCCACCAACCGTTTTTGCTTGTTTTTTTGGTTGCTCTGACCTGGTTTTCTCTCCTCAGCCCTTGGTCTTCCAAATTGGGACGCATATGGATCTGTCTCTAGGGGATCCCTTGGATGGCAAAGGGAAACCAAAAGGAAACGGTTGCCACCTGCCTGTGGTTTTCAACCAAAACAGCGTACCAGCTCAAAAGACAGCCCCAAAACGGTGCTCAAAATGGGGATCGGCCCAGTTTGGGGGGCCCAACCTGCGGGCTCTTAGGTTGGAGCCACACGGCACGACTTCACTGCGTCACCTGAAACACAAAACACGCCTCGGGACGAACTTTTACGTAGCCATGGTGGATGGAAACCAAGCTCCCCATCGGTGATACCAAAGTGGGCCCCTGTGATTACTGTCTTGCAAAATCCACCCATTCCCCCAGCAAAAAACATCACATTCAGGACAGCATGTTCGGGTTGACGCGCCACTTGGGAATCAGTCTGAGGAACTAAAACCACAAGTCCCTTCAAAGGGCCCAACCAGAACCGCCAAAGGCGCTGATCCGGCGGCGAATACCGGCGGCGGGCGAGCCGTGGATCATTGCTCGGTCCTGGATGACTCAGTTTGGTTTTCGAGTACCCACTGCCCCAGTCTTACAACAAGGGAAGCCCGTCTAGACCATTCTGAATCAACGACTATGCAAATATCCCCACCTTATAGCTACCTTACAACAGCTTCCACCTGATAGTATCTTATGGTAACCCCCCTTTATACAATCTACAAAACAAACAAAGAAACAACACAATCTTTAAACAAAAACCCACACGCGCACACACATATATATCCAGCGCGGCCTTGGGCGCCGACTCCACTCGCAGCCCAGGTCCTTGGGGAGCTCCTTGGGCCGGCGGACTCTGCCCCCCGCTGAAAACCGCCACCCGGCCACACCATAGCAAGCAGGCGCAAAACTCCAAGGGTTTTTGTATTACACCCCGGGAATACACCTGGGTGTTGACCCCATTTAGGCACATCTCCGGATAAAACCGTGCTATTTTGAACCATTCTGGGTCATTTGTCAAGGGTGACATTTCAGGGTGGGTGTAATACAAAACCCCCCAGAAAAAACAAGCAAAAAGCAACACCACATAAGCAAGCAAGCCCATACACAGACCACACACACACACGCAGAGAAACAACCACACACAGCAAAACACAGGGCAAAGGGGTGAGCAATGTCAGTTGCAGGAGGGTAGTGTAAGATATTCTGTCAACATTGGATTCCCCTCCATAGCGAAATCCTTCTGGTTGATTGTTGTTGTCGTCTTTGAACAAAGGAAGAACCATTCAAACGTAGTGGGAAACCAAAAGGAACACTGAGGGATCTCCTAAAACAGACGCACCCAGTTGACATGGCTTCACACAGCTCCCCAAAACAAGCTTCACACAGCTCCCCAAAACAAAGGCCGTGTGGATCTAAATGTGGTGACACATGAATTCAATCCACTTTTTGGTGCGACCTGGGAATGTGAAACTACCCATTCTGAAATGTAGGCCTACTTCGCATCTCCTAGATGGGTGTTACTTACCATTTAGGACGCTCTGGTCTCATTGCCTGGTGTCTAATTTGGAGTAAAATAGAGTCACCTCGTATACAAATGACAATGTTCGACCAAACTGAAACAATTTTCGGCCCCTGGGAACCAGTGACATCCCTTTCAAATGGCCATTCTCTCATTTATGGTACATCTGGGACATTTTTCGGACAGAGCAGCTCATCTCGTAGAATCCCAGTAGGTTCCCATGCAATCCAACCAAAACTGACCAAGGGCACGTATATAATGCTGACCCCTGATTATGCTATTGGGGGGGGGTCCCTGGAAGAAACGACTCCCCACTCAAAAAGGGAACCCCCTTGATAGTAAGTTGGGGGTTTGATTAATCAGGGCCTCAGCATTCTGGTTTCTATATAGAACCAATTTCAGTTGCCCAGAAACCCGAGTAGAAGAAGAATTGGACGCCTTATTGCGTCCAGGACCCGCATTTTTGTTGTGGGTTCAGGACCCGACGAGACAAAAAGAGGATTCATCTGGTGGGGGTGGGATCCAGTCAAAGTCTGCGCACATCTAAGCTTCCCAGGCTCAACCTCAGTGACTTATTTTTTTTGGGCCAGCCCCAAAATGGCAACGCTCCCACCCCGGACAGGAAATCATGAAGCCCTCCGCCATTCCTCCTCCCAATTCCTTCTACCGCAGGAAAGGAACCTACCAAAAGGGGCCTCCCATGACCGAGACTTGCTCAGTGCGCTGCAAAGAAGGGCAGCCACATCTCAGAAAGCCATGGCGCACCAAATCGATCCGTGGGCAGCTCCAAAGCGGTGAATTTTACTTGTAGCAAGGGAAACCCAAAAAGCTGGTTCAGTGACATTTATCCGGGCTGTCAAAGTAAATTGTATCCCGTATATCCACACCGAGTTTTGACATACTGAAATGTGGTTGCAAGAACAGAGAGGGTTTTGAGCATCGGCTGTAAAGGACATCGGGTGCTGGCCGGGAGTAGTTAACAGGAGCGGGGTTGTCAATTCTTTTGTGGAGCAGCCCACAAAACGAAAGCGAATTTAAAGGGTGAATCCCACCGAAGAGTTGGGGAAAGCATTGCTGCGATTTCCCACAGTCATCTCAATGATCCCGCGATGCAGATACCAGTGTTGAGGTACTACGGTGATCCCTAAGCGGTTTGTCAATGGGCTCCGTTAAGTGGAGTGGGCCCCCTGCAAATCAAGTCTATGCCTGACTTGCCACGAGCCCTGCCAAAAGCTCTATCTCTGGCTTAGCTGCACCTTATGGCTCTTCAAATCAGCGTAAACCGCAAGGTTATGGTTGCGATGCAGTGCCAGCGAACATAGAATAAGTCGTGTTTTGGCTTGGGGGTTTGGACGTTAGGTTCCTTCCCCATGCGGCTTCCAAAGGTGTGGTTTGGTTGGTGGTTTGGACGTGGCTTGCGCCTTCCCCATGTGGCTTCGAAGGGAGGGGGGGGGCGGCAGTACTTTTTCCCCAGTTCCCACCGATCCAAACCAAAAGGTTACCTCTATGTCACGTGCCGAGCTATCTTTGAGCAAGCGCTGAAGGCAGCGCGCGTGGCTTGCCTGGCTTGCCTGATGAGCTGACAGCAAATCAAAAAATGATTGGTCTTTGCTAAGTTATGAACAAACAAACCAACTTGCCAAAACAAACAAAACAAACCAAACTAGCCCCAACCGACCAACCAAACAGCCAAACAAACAAACAACAAATACAAAAAGCAAAACAAGCCACACCAACCAACCAACAACTGATTGCTAGTTAGTAGGGAAGCGGTCAGATTGATACTGTGGATGGACGAAATCCTGCACCACCTAACAGACCCTGCAAGGATGATTCCCTTGCAAGTACCAAGAAACAACGGTTTCCCATGGTTTCCAAGTGGTGCGAACTGGATTTCGTGCATCCACCGTAGGTTGAAGATTATACCAAAGAGCAGCCTAGACATACCGCGGAGCACCGCGAATCCGAAACCAAGCCCCGTGGAAACTCGGCGAGCAGCACCGGATCTGGTTGGAGCAGGCCTCGCCGGACCGGATCGCGCGCGACCGCGAATTGAGCTGAGGGGTGCACATGGCCCAATGTCTTAACCTACAAACAAGTCATATGCGTGTACTTCATTGACTCGCCCAAAACATGTTGTGGTGTTTGCTTTTGTTTGTCTTTTTGTTTGGCTCTTTTTGGCCATCCTGCAAGCTGAACCTCCTCACCAGTCCAGCAACTCCAAAGATGATCAACTTCCTGTCACAACCAAGCAAGTCATTCTTGTGTGCTCAACCAAAACTTTTTTGTTTAAGCACTTGAACTTCGAGCTGAAGCTCCAAAAACCACTTTCATTCGGCCCAGTTGGTGCCTACCCACTAGATCCACCGGGCGATTCCATGTACTTGGAGCCCTTGTGCTTTCTGGATCAACCATTCATGGGGCCTAGGGAGGAGCGAGAGGGGCAGTCCTTTTTAGGGGGACGATCACCCCAGTTACACCACTTTTCACCATGGGTACAAGTTGTAACCAACTTACCTGACGTTGGGCAGAGGCTATGTTCGGGCGAATCCGTAGGGATCCATTTGGGAGAACCCATGTGTATCAAACCAAAGTCCCAAACCCAACCCCCAAAGAAAGGCTCTTGCAAGAGGCGAAGAGCATCTGTTCCAAGGGGTCCTCCCCACCTCCCCTCCCTGCCCCCGCAGCCCCATAAGCGCCGTGTCCCAGGGATCATGACAACCATTTACACGTTCTCATGGACCATGACCGTGTGCCGATGCCAACATTAACATATGGCTCCCGCAATCATTTGAGGGAACAAAGACTGGGCCCCTGTGCGCATCAGCATGCATCTATACATTGTGCGCATTTGAGACATGGAAACAGTCATGCCTCTCTTTTTTTGGGAGGGGGGGGACCTGAGTTTCCTCTCGAATTTCCTGTAAAACCAACCGCAAAGAGGTTCCCCCCCCCCCCCCACAAAAAAAGGGAAGAAACCGCCCGTGCATCAAGTGGATTGCTTATGATTGCTTCACTGATCACTCCACAGGACGTATAACGTCCATCCCCAGATCTCTGCCTGAGAGGATGTTCTGCGCGTCCGTACAAACCCATGGCCTACAGTCGCGCGCTTGAGCGCTCGATTGTCGAAGTCGAAGGATCGGATAGTGCCAAGGGTGCCTCTGGTCACATCGTCACGGCTAAGTCAAGCCATGTTCAGGTATGGGTTTGGAGCTATGGAGGTGTTTTTTTAACCACTTACATAAGTATATACATAAGCATCCATACCTCCATGGCGAAGCCATTTGCCCAGAGGGCAAATTGTAGCCATAGCCAAGAGCAAGGCACCCTTTCTGCTAACGTTGTTTTTGTTGTAGGTGACAAACAGGCGTCCCGCCCGTTTCTCAGAAGAAAAGCCGTGGCTGTTTTGAGAAACATCCGCGTCAGGCCTCATTACTTGCCATGATCCAAGTCACCAGCTAAGTGGTGGGTTAAAGGGAAACAAACCCATTGGTCTTGGGGTAACTTCCCCATTCTTTCCAGGGATCCTTCTTTCTAGAAAACCACCAAAAACCTTGGGGAAATGGCTGGTTTTTGAAAAGAACGATGGCTGAAAAGAATGGGGAATTAACCCCTAGAATTGTCTGACTTTGACAACCTAAAGAATCCTTGGACTTCAGCTCGGGTTTCTGCTTTCGAACATCACACTATTGCCGACAAACAAGGCGACGGCTGCACCAATCTCTTTGCGGCTCCAAATATTGGGTGATACATCAATCACACTGTAGACATGTCCATGTGAGTGTGTCCTTTGTTTGGGGAACCCCCTTTTTTGTGGCTTTAAAGGAAACCCACAAGGAAAACCACCATTTTAGGGGGCTCCCCTAGGTTTGACACGCCCATATGAGCGTGTTCTTTTGGGAAACTCCCTCTTACCTGCCCAAACTTG